AGTATGTTCTATCTCCATTTTTCATGTGAGGAAAGGAAGGTTCATGAAGGTTAAGTAACTTTTATGTCACGAAGCTAAAAGTTGGCTTTAAACCCGGGTCTATGTGAACCTAAATAAGGTAATCCAAGCAAAAAGCATGATTACAATTAAAATGAACTTAGTGTTATTCATAGTTTCTAATTGAGCAGTACTTCAATCAGTGACTCACTATGACAGAATCTCACCCCCAAATACTAAATGTTAATTTCAGTTTGTGACCCAAAATACTAATAGATCGATCACTCAACTCAAAAGAAAAATACCATACAATTAGATATCTTACATTTTAAACAAAAAAAATAATATTTAAATAAAATGTTGGTAGTAAAAAAAGATGCTTTTATTGGCATAGATGCTTTTTGGCATATTATAATCTTCAGAAATCCACTACTGTGACATAAGATCACATATCTGACATAAAAACTTTCCTCTTTTCAAGTTCAGTGGTCCCCTCTTTATCTGCAGTTTCACCTTCCATGGTTTCAATTACCAGCAATTAACACCCAGTCCAAAATATTAAATGGAAAATTCCAGAAATTCATACATTTTAAATTGCACACCATTCTGAATAGCATGATGAAATCTCTCACTATCCTGTTCTGTCCTACCTGGAATATGAATCCCTCTGCCCAGCATAGCCACACTGCTTGCCCATTAGTCAGTTAGTAACCTTCTCAATTATAAAATCAATTGTTCACAGTGCTTGTGTTCGAGTAACTCTTATTTTCCTTAATCATGGCCCCAAAGTACAGTAGTGATGCTGGCAATTCAGATATTTGGTTCATGTATGCATGCCAAAGAGAAGCCGTAAAGCACTTCTTTAAGTGAAAAGGTGAAGATTCTCAATAAGAAGAAAAAAAATACATGCTGAGGTTGCTGAAACCTACAGTAAGAACAAAATCTTCTATCTGTGAAATTGTAACGGAAAAAGAGAAAGTCATGCTAGTTTTGCTCTCACCTCACTGTAAATTATAACTACAGTGCGTTTTAAGTGCTTAGTTAAGATGGAAAAGGCATTCTGACAAGTGTAGTTCAGTTGGTTCAGTATCTTTCCACAAAGCAAAAGGTCTCTGGTTGGATTCCTGGTCAGGGCACATGCCTGTGTTGCAGGCTTGTCCCTGGTTTGGGTGTGTGCAAGAGCAACCCATCAATCTTTCTCATTCTCACTGCCTACAGCTAACATTTGCCAACCTCTTAATCCTCTCCCAGAGAGCATCTCTTTGACTTCTGAGTGTTTACCTTCCATCTCTGAGTTCTACATTGCTACCTGCTGAGCAAGGTAGGTTTCAGTTCCAAGGATGCCAAAGTAAACCACAGCAAGCAACATTAGCTTGAACCCTCATAAACATTCTATCCAAGAGAAAAAAAATGTGTAGTTCCTCCTCCATTAGTGAACATCCACAACTACCTTTTCTTCCAGTACTGTGGGTCATAATCAATAAAGATGCAAAACAATAAAAACAACAGATAAAGATAAAAACAGTTGAAACCAGTGACCAAAAACTTCCTATTAACTTCAACTGTAAATTAAACTTGGAACAGTAGATGTTCCATTTGCTTCTGCCATTATGGGTCCAGCCTGCTCAGATAAATCTGCCATTCAAAGAAGTAGAGAAATATATCCTAAGAATTGAGAGCTCCAAAAATAGAACTCATAAGCCAGAACCAGAACCAGAAGACAGAGCAAAAGCATACTCAAAGAAAAAAAAAGGATACTCAAATCCTTCTCCTAACCTCATTTAACCCTCCTTTGTGAAGGCACTGACGGCATATAAAGGCATATAAAGAAGAGGGGAAAGTACTCATTAGGAAGAACTTCCTACTTTACAAATCAGGGTAGAAACATGCAGGGAGGAAAATGATGGCTCCTCCTGAACAAACATAACCTCCACAAATACACAACAGATTCTTCAGAATGTTTTAAAAATTCTTCAACAGGAACACCTCACAAACATAGTCTCTTCCTGTTTCACTTCCTATACCAGAGAGGCAGGAATTGGATGAAGAGATAACTAGACGAGTTTGACCTGCAAAGACCGGGCTTCAAAGAAATTCAAGGTTGCAAACTCCCAAAGTAGTCATGATTAAAAATCAGTGTTCTATGTCATCTTTGCATGAGTTATGACCAATTCAGTCATAAAAGATAGGCCTCTTTGTAAAACAGCACCATAGATAAAAAGGTATTTAACCATTTTATCTTCCTTTCTAAAACTCTTTCCCTCACCTAGCTTCTTCTCACCCTTATCTCCAGGGAAGACCTCTGTTGCTCTCTACACCCTGCAGTCCACTTATTCCTTAGGTCTGACCTCTAAACTCCCATCCCCCACTGGCCAACTAAGTACAAATTAGATTATGTAATTAAAGTCCTTCACACTAATTGGTAAATGTGGTTTAATCCACCAGGATTCAACTCCACGAATATTAAGCTCTACTATGTATAAGGCACTGTGTTTAATCTACCAAAGTACCTATTCTTCTTACAAGAAAAATTAGTTAACTCAGTCTTTTAATGGACAATGTAAGCAAGAGGCACATGAGTGACTGTTTCACATCACACTCTCCCCATCCCATTTCTTTCCTTTCCCCACTCTAAGAGCCAGAGAATATAATACAAAGAATCAATATTTGCTTCCAATAAGTCAATGACTGGGAAGACATGTGGGATGGTATAGCAAGCATTAAACATTTAAAACTATAGCTGCATTGTGGGGTGTCTCTTGGATTTAACTTTACATATTAATTGCAAGTATTATAAAGGAATCTCAATAAATTGACTCCATTTCCTTACAAGATACCTTTAAATTACCTTTGCCCAAAACCCTGAGTTATTAAACCATAAATACTGAGGGGTCTTTTTTTACTTATTTCCAGTCAAAATATTAATAAGTACCAGTTCAATTTGTCCTACTGTATTTAAAGGATATTGAACTTGGCTATTAGATTTATCTACTGTTTTCGATTACACTTCACATTTTTCCCAAGTCCTCCAAGGTTTGAAATTCCAAACTAATTGGCATACTTGCTTTAAATCTCTTTTTTAATGATAAAATTTACTAATTCTCACCTATAATAGAGGTCCTAAACTGAAGAGCAGGATACAATTACATACAGGTTTGGGTATGGCTGGGCCACATGAAGCTATTTTCAGTTGCTGTAATTCTTTCTTAGTATTTTTAAAAATCAAGAGACTGCAAGCAAAAATTTAAACTTCTTGTGTTCTCTTGAAAAAGCTTAAGACTGGGCCCATGTTCATGAAGGGCACTAATCAGGTGGACCTGAGAACTGGACGTCCCTCTTGGATGAAGCATAAACAAACTCTACAGTGTCTTTCACTCATTCTTATTTTCATCTGCCTAGCATCTGAAGGCATGTGAGCTTGCTATTCACAAACTATTTCTTTGAAAGAGTGCATAATGTTTTCCAGATCACTTCCACACTTCACCAAGTCAACTAGAGATAAAAAGCCACATAGCAGACCATAGCAGTTTGCAACTTCATAGTTAATAATTTAAAAATCTCACAAGGTTTAGAGGGGTGAGAAAGAAAAAAAATTCAGACTAGTAGAAGGGTGACATAGAGAAAGCAAAAAAGCCCATCTGAAAGCTTTTTTGGGAGTGAAGAAAAAAAAAAGGTGAAAGAGCTCAAAAACACTTTTGAGATACTGAAGGCTTTTCTGATCAAACACTACATTACGTCCTTCTTACCCTGCTCCATGCAGAACCTCCCTTCCCACTTTCTCTTTATGTGTAACAATAGCAGTTAGGTCATAAACTCTGAGAAATGTTAGAAACATTTATGAAACACTTAGACCTTCAAAAAGACTTCTCCTCACACTTTAACAGTCTCAATCCACCATCAAATCCTTTCCCAAGTACTTTCCACTGCTTTCTGCTTTGTTTTCAAATGACAACCGCAGTCCTCACTTTCAATGCTTAGACTTCAGTCCTGGATGGTCTCTCCAATACAGAAATATTTTTTGGCCCTATGGTTTCATTCCTTACATATCTTTTATTACAATTTCTACAGTCTATTTCATTCAAAATGTATCCCTAACCTCCTCTCTAAAAAATGTTGATCATAGTTGTGCAGTAGGGGAAGGGGGGGAGGTACCCGATTGTCCTAAAAAATCAATATACCATGCTGCTTCACTGATTGTAAATTTAAATAAAAAGCATGAAGACTCTCAAAGATACAAAACTTAAATATTTTTTGTATGGTAAGTACACAAAGCGACACACAGATGAGGCTCTATCTTTAGCATATCCGAATTACTGTCTTTTCATCACGTACTCAAAATACTGAGAAAGTATGAAATCTGTGAGAACCAGGGATGGTGACACTGTCCCCACATTAACAAATTACTAAGTGATGTCTCACCTCCCCACACCCCATTCCAGAAGATAAAGGGTGTTAGGAAACTTGCATCTAAAGAAGGAAAAAAGTTTTCCTTCGCAGGTTTTGGGGAAACAAAGCTTTACCACACGTGATGCTATCACGGCATAAAACCACGCAGCACATTATTAGGATCTTCACTGCTCTTCGTCTTTAGGTGGAAGGCAACTCACCACCTAATCCCCTATTGTGATGCGCCCTCATCCGGACGTCGCTGCTTTTAGCCCAGGGACAACAGAAAAGGGGCGGGGCATGGGGTTACTCGCCCAGGGAAGGATGGATGAAGGTATCGACTTCACCCCTGAGGAAAGGCCTCGGGGGCTCCCAACCCAAAAACAGCACCGCCGAACCCAAGCGCCATCCCTGCCTCTGCGAACTGGGTGCCAGCGACGGGAGCCCAGAGCCCCACCCACAGCCCCCTAGTAGGTTCCAAGACGCCCAGACCACCGCCTGAGCAGCCCAGCTCTCCAGCCTGACTCGCCCTCCTCCCCCCTCCTTCGCCCCCGCCAAGCCCAGCCTCCGGCGCCGCCCCCACCGAGGTCCCCAGCTGTGTCCAGTCACCCCCGAACCTGTAGTGCCCCTTAAGCGTCCACGGAGACCCTAGGCAAAAGGCGGGGCCGGAAACACCTCTGCTTTCTCCTCAACTGGACCCCTCCAGAGGTGTCTAGCTAGACGGCCACTCCGGCAGCCCGAGTTACCAGAGCCGCCCCGGCAGGTTGCAGGCCGGCTCCTAATCCTGTTCTCGCGAGAGCCCACAATCCAAAGAGGCGAGGCTAACTGCGTTCTCGCGAGAATGGTGGCTCAACGCCCAGGAGTGGGCGGGGCGCCAGCTGTGCGAGCTGTGGTGGGAGCTGCCCCTGGGCTGTGCGTCCAGCCCCGGGGCTGGCGCTACTGATTGGAAGGCGTTGGTCCTCGCAGTCGTCAGCTGGCGATCAACAGCGGGTCTCGAGTCTGAGAGGCTACGATACCCCCCATAACCTCTGAGTCCCACGTCTTTCTCTTCGACTTCCTATGCCCGTTAGAAAAAAAGCGGACAGCGTTTCCAGCCCAGGTTTAGAGAAATACCTTGGGGTCCTGAGTTTGTTTAGGGAAAGCGTTTTTCTCAACTGAATAAACTCCGAATCGCCTTTACCAGTCCAGCTGCGGGTTATTAACCGACCCGGGTTCATGAAAAGCGGTCGTTTTGAGGGCCACCCTCTACTCCCTAAGGTCCACAGCTGTTCGTTTTTAATCGCTGGGTTGGCGGGAACCGCTGTGCCAGCTGAAACTCCTGCAATTGAGCTGCCCGTCTAACGTCTGGAGTAACCCAGGTAGGGGATTGCTCCCTGTGGGCAGAAAGTCGCCAAGTAATAGTTTCAGTTGTTCAATTTTACTGATCCTACCATGTGCCAAATGTTGGACTATATACAAAAGGAAAAAATAAAAGACAAGGTCTCCTCCCTCGAAACACCCTCCCACCCAGGGACGAGACCCACCCAAAGACAGATAATCCTATATACTGATTCGCTTGCACTGATCTCTGGGAGCAGGAAAGGAGTACCTAACCGGCCTCTGCCTGCCATGTTGAGCAAGCCTCCACCTGGGAGTAACATTTAAGCTGAATCTTAAAGGATGAGTAAGAGTTCCCCAGTTTTCAGAAAAGTGGGAGGGGCTTTGCAAGCAGAGGAAGCAAAGAGGAAGAGGACCTGGTTTGAGTAATTTTGGTATGAAAACAGATTCGCAGGAAGAACTTTAAAAAAAAACAACTTTGAATCCTTGTTTAGTTAGTGAAACAGAACGACTCTGGGTTCTATTCCTCTGGGTTCTATTGCCCACCACTGAAAAACCATGATTCCCAATGCCAGAGTCTTATGAAAAGGAAAGGAATCATTTATTCTGAAGTTTTAGAACACGCTTAGAATAATGGTAGATTTCTGCCATTAAATCTCACTTCCTTTAGAAAAAAAAAAAAAAACATAATCACACAGTCCTGCCTCCCCTTGCAAAACTAGGCCAGTCAGGAGTACCGTCTCTCAGGAAAAGAAATAAAAGTCTGTAGTTTAGCTGGGCAGATTCCTACCTGTATTCTGGCTTCTTCCAGTAGTGGGTACTCAGCTAGGCTCCTGCTCTTAATCCAGAACCCCAAGGACCCTCCTCATGGTGGGTTGGGGGGGTTGTCCTTCTGCATCCACCTGGCCAAGACTGCTTCCAAGCCACATGGTCAAGAGATGCTTCTCCTTCCCAAGTCACCTTGGTTAAACCCTAGTGTGGCTGCCATGCCCAACTTTAAATCCCGGCTCTGATCTTCCTCCATAACCCTATTTCTGGCTCCCCCTACAAACGGTTACACTTGTCAGTACTCTGGTTTCTTCTCCCTTTCTTGGCTGCCATGGTTAGTCCGGGCTGATTTGGTCCTCTCATGTGGCATCCACCTCCAAGCCACTGGCCCAAGCGTGATAACTAGGGTACCACCTCCTGTTACAACTCCACTCCAGTTAGAGTCACGCCTATCTCCCTGGCTCCCACAGCAGCAGACACAGTTATTAGCGTTACTAAAACACTGGCCAACCTCTTTAGATATGCAAAGTAATTCTCAATGGCCCTGCTCCACTTCTCCTTTCCCCGATCCAGGCTAGTGCGGGACTTCTCCTTTTGGGGACCTCTAGCTTAGCACACTGTTACATTAGGGAGAGAAAAAACTCCCAGGCTCCCACATGTGATAGCCAATGTGTTTTCCAAACTGAGATGAACAGTTGTACTTGAACAATATAGGATAGTGAACATCTTCTTCTTCATCTAAGGACACTTTGATATCAGAGACATAAAGGAAACAGGTTATTGTCATGGTATAGCAAGTTGTTATTGCCAACATTCTGCTAAATTGGAAATTGCCGGTGATCTTTGAGGATTTCCAAGTAAGAAGAATCTAAATAAGAATATTGTAATATAGGTAATCTCATGGACAAATTTCAAAAAAAATCCTCAGGCAACAAAACAATAAAAACCTCAACAACCTTGATTTATTATCAAAATTTTCTTCTGTAAGCTAAGATCAAGGTAATTCTACAGTGCAAGTTAGGGTTAGTGAGGTCTGTCAAACAGGAAATATTTCCTTATATCAAAATAGAAGCTATCATTTCCTAAAGAAAGTCTCTAGTATTCTACTATATAGTTTCCCTTTAGACACACTATTTTCATAGTATTACCCATATTTATATATACTATAGTTTCACTTGGCTCACCCTACTCTTCCTACAAATGCACCCAACGCATAATAAAACAAACAAACAAAAAGCAGTTCTCACCCTGCTGTGGGTCAATCAGATGCTCTGCTTAGCAAGCTCTAGAAATTTTCCAGAAAACATTGGAAGAATTATACCAGTAAGAGATTTCAGATGAAATACAGAGATTTTGTTCCATGACAGAATCCAGTCAAACTATTTTATATTGCTGTGAGGGACCTACAGTTCATCAGTTCATTTTATTGTTACTCCTGAGAGAGAGAGAGAGAGAGAGAGAGAGAGAGAATGAATCTAAAAGTTACCACTGTTTTTTGCTTTAAAAAGAAAATTTACCTTTCAAATATTAATTTCGGAGCATGGGTAGTCCCTATATGTCCACTAGGCAATGCCATTGATTCACACTATCACGAACTGCTCTACACAATAATTTGCAGGTGCTGACTGAATGAGTTAAGGTTCAGACCCTTAGTGAAGGGCTTCCTTCTGCAATACCAATGCATGCACCAAAGACGTCAATACAGAATTTCCTATTGAACAGAGATTAAAAGTTTCATATAGAAGCAATGAACAAACCAGTTTCTTTGGTTGTCTATATTATTCCACCTCATAGCATGCTAACTCAAGATTGTTACACAGAGGAGGATAAGCTAGACTTCTTGTTCAATACTTACTTACTCAACAAATAAATGATAAGTCACAAGCCCCAAATCCTCTTTAAGACCTGAGATTGCTTTGCCTATAAGGTTTGAGCTTGGTCACCTAATTGCAGGAACACAAAAATCACACACAAAAAGGACTCTATCCCTATTCAGCAAATTTGTTCATTGACCAAGACCCTGAGTAAGAACACTAGGGGATATACAGACATTATTAACGTGCAGGTTCTAGTGATATAAATGAGCTATGTGATTAACTAACAAGAGAAAACAGTTTGGGTTATAGGAAGATAAAGACAATGTGCTATGGGAGGCCAGCGATAGAAAAGACTGCTTCTAAAACAAGATGAGTGATAGTTGTGCAATTTTATAGATACTAAGTATTGCTGCATACAATAGGTGACTTTTATGTATAACAGTCAGTTCTTTCAGTCCCAGTTTTTTTCAAAGATCTTATTTATTTATTTTTAGAGAGAGGGGAAGGGAGGGAGGAAGCGAGGGAGAGAAACATTGATGTGAGAAAGAAACATCCATGGCAAACTTTCAGTTTGCAGGACGATGCCTAACCAAGCCACACAGATCAGGGTTGGGTCCCATCTTTTAAAATCACTATTTTAGTTTACTTTTAAAAAACACCTGAAACTCATACAACTCAACAGCAAAACAAAACAAACAAATCACCCTATTTATAAATGGGCAAAGTATTTAAATAGACATTTCTCGAAAGGGGACATGCATTACTTGTATGGCCCACAGGTACATGAAAAGGTGCTCATCGCTAATCATTGAGGAAGTACAAATCAAAACAACTGAGATAGCACTTCACACCTGTTAGAATAGCTATTATCAAAAAGATAAAAGGTAACAAGTGTGGGCAATGATATGGAGACAAGGGAACTTTTATTAACTGTTGGTGGGAATGTAAATTGGTACAGCCACTGCAGTAAACAGTGTAGAGTTGTCCCAACGAAATACCTACCCAGCCAGAGACGACATTTTTTTTGAGACTACATGCTCCAGCTTCCCTAGGCCACCCCAATATTACAATATTAGGTGTGACTATATTATAGTCGATGAAATGTGAAGAGATGTCACCTTTCCTAGGCCTTGCCAGTAAAAACTTCCCCCGTGGCACTCCTACTTTATTTATTTATTTATTTATTTACTTACTTACTTAGAGCTCACTGGAATGGAGACAGACAACCCTAGGGTTACCGTGATAGAAACTGAATCCCCAGCCACCCTGTTGACCTCTTAAGCTGCCTAGTAATATAACATTCCAGTACTGTTATGTGGATAAGAAATAAACTTCTATTTAATTCAGGTGGTCATACATTTGTTACAGCAATTTGCTCACCCTAACTAATTCAGAAATGAGTACCTTTACATAAAGTGCAGACAAGCAAAAACCTAAAAGTATGGAGCTGGGGCTTAGGTATAGGGAATGGCAAGAAATAGATATCATGAACTGGAAAGACAGAGTCCCTGTTATACTACAGCATACATTTAAAAAGTGATATTAGCCCTGCCTGGTGTAACTCAGTTGGTTGGGCATTGTCCTGCAAAGCAAAAGGTTGCCTGTTCAATTCTTGGTCAGGGCACAAACCCTGGTCAGGGCACATGCCTAGTCAGGGTTGCAGGCCAAGTCCCTGGTCAGGTCACATGCAAGAGGCAATTGATCGATGTTTTTCTTACAAGTCAATGTTTCTCTCCCTCCCTTTTCCTATCTCTAAGAATAAATCAGTAAAAACATTTAAAAATGATATTAGACTATCCATTTAAGCAAGGCGTGTTGACATTCTATGAAGAAAAAGCAAGGGAATAATAATAAACACAAAAACAAGAAGGCAAGGATCAAGAGGGATATAATT